CCATAACCTGAAGCCTGATAGCTCATAGCAACAACAAACATTATTAAAAAATAGCCATTAAAATATGATGCCAAGAAGTGCAATAAAAAAGAGGAAGAACATCAGTTGAAAATTATAATTCTTTGTTGATGACACATTATGTGCACAATATATATCAGTGACAAAGCACAAACAGCTCCATAAGCAATATGAAACAGAGCAGTGAAAATGACAAAAAGACACCACATAATGCAGAATGCATGTAACTATGGACCTCATCACATTTATTTTTGCAGCATCCTAGGATGCTGCCAGGATGCTGCAAGGACTGAGCCCACCAGAGCCTATCACATGATGCAAGGCTACTTCTGGTGAGACTCTGTCCTGAAGTGTCCTAGAGAACATGGGAGGCTTCCCGTGTTCTCATTAGTTAGAACAGGGCCAGCATAAGGGGAAGCCAGGCGGTGATGCTTTCCTTCATGTGATGGGGAAAGCAGTAATGCAGGTGATGCAGGACACAGGGTGATGGTTTCCCCCACTGCCCCATGGATTTGCCATGCTGCCCGGCAAATCCCCCCCCCCCCCCATTATCACCTGGCTTGAGGACCTCAATGTGATGAGGTCCTAAGTCACCTTGAAAAATAATAATCTTTATTTATTTATATCCCATCCTATTTCCCCATGAGGATTCAGGGCAGTTTACAATAGGCACTGGCAAACATTCAATGCCATAAGGTGCAGCGAGGGCATTGGTTTCCAGGTGGAAGGTGGTCCTGGCCAGGGTTGGCTTGATGCACTTTCCTCTTGGCACATTTCTTCCTTTTGTCCTCCATTCATGCCTCTTTGAATTCCACAGCACTGTTGGTCACAACTGACCTCCAGTTAAAGCGCTCAAGGGCCAGGGCTTCCCATTTTTCAGTATCTATGCCACAGCTTTTAAGGCTGTGTACCAACAGCTCCTGAACATCTGATATTATGCCCAAGAAGTCATGAGCAGAGGGCAGAATTGTATCCTTTATCTGATACACATGATATTGAAGTTACACTTGGCCAGACTCTTCAGTTTGCTGCTTTTCAATTTCCTGCACAAGCTGCTTCAGCATTTAAAATTGACATCTTTATGTATAAAAGACAAATCATGTTCAGTAATATCCACCTCTTTGTTTACTAAAGGACAGAGAATAAAAGCCAATGTTGCTTCAGTGATTTTGATCAGGATATCAATTTGTTTGGATGCATGGGAGACTTGAATGGAAATCAGCAACTTTATATTCAAATAGTGATTTGAATAATATATTCTGGGCATAAAGAACAAGCCAGGTTAACTGTTACTTTCATATCCTAGTTGTGGCTTTCCTAGCTATACCTGTCAGATCACTGATAGAGAAAACTGACAGTTTAAATTAGAAGCATGTAGACCTCAGGCTTGCAAGAACTATTTCACTTTTTAAGAAATGCAACCTAAAATTCATTAGTTAGAACTGGCATGAAAGACATACACTCAGTATAAATTATTTTGGATGCAAGAATTTGTTTTGAGTACAATTGAGTGGAGCTCAGAATTCTTCTATACAAAAAATCTATTCCTGATTTAGGACTGCCAGGTTGGATATGGGATGGAGCTTTTGCAAATTTTATCCTTAACAGATCTTGGAGCAGAACAAGGAGTACTAGAAAGCTCCATCAAAGGAAATGAAGAAACCTGTTCTCTGTCACTTTCCAAAACCCAGCTTTCAGGCACAACTGTCCCCTGCCAACATGGCCTTTGCCTCACGAATGGAGATATCTGAGGGGTTGGAGGAGGAACATTTATATAGTTCTGTTCTTATTTCCAGACACACACAAATCCAAAAACAAGAACAGAGCTAGGAGCTCCACTGTACCTATTCACTCTGCCCATCAGTAAGCTAAGAGCTATGTTGTGAGGAGATGGCTTTGGCAGACAGTTGGGATTTGAACATTGAAAGGGAACTAGCACCTTCATACTGCTGGATTGAGCATTATTGATAACTTCTCCTTTTTCCAAGAATAATATCCATTCTGCAACCCTTACTCTTTTAATTTCAGAATTAAAATTTATAACAGGGGAATAGAGATACCAACAATCTTCAACTTATGAACAATGCAGATGCTTCCCCCTGTGGTATGGGGCCAAGTGTAAGCCAGGTGATGTGGGGTGTGGGGTGATGGGTCCCCTGTGCCTCCTGCGTGGATTCGCCATGGTGTGTGGTGAATCCATAGGTTAATGTTATAAGGTCCTTAGAGATTACATTTCTTGACATATTATCTTGGTAACATTGCACCTTGGAAACCTGCAAATTATCCTAACAGTTTTTCCCCGGTCCTAGATTTCCTGGCAATCTGAGCAATGTTGTCTGCAGGCCTGTGCTAGACTTCTGCTCCAATGGCGTACCACTCATTTGGATGCATATCATTGCTTTCATCAGGAAGAAGAACAAAAAGCATTAGTAAGTTCACGGTCAGGCCCAGATCTGTACCTAGGAGAAAAATTGGTATTCAGACTCACATCTTGCTTGGAAACTATCAGTGTCTTGGTTGATTTACTACTGGCCTGGACAGCTCTTCTTGACTTGGAAAATCCAAGAATGCTGTATTGATGTTGTTTTTGTTGTTTTTGTTGTTGTATGCCTTCAAGTCACTTCTGACTTATGGAGAACCTAAGGTGAACATATCAAGATGTTTTCTTGGAAAGATTTGTTCAGAGGAGGTTTTACTTATGCTTTCCTTTGAAGCTAAGAGAATGTGACTTGCTCAATGTCACCTTGTGTATTTCCATTGCCAAGTGAGGATTTGAACTCTTGTCTCTACAATTGTTCTCCAGTGCTTAAACCACTGAACCTCTCAAGCATGATGTATCAATTGCACTAATGCTGAAAAACTGTTATTTCTTTTTGTACTTCAAAAATCAAGATATAAAAATGTGCCGCAATTTGAACCTTGATTACTTTTAGACCTCCCATTCTAATCAAGTTTGAACTTTAATTTCCTATAAACTATGCACAAGTTGATCGTTAATTTCTTTTAGACTTCTTGTCCTATGCAAGTCCAAAGCCAATGACAGATCTAAAGTTAAAACTATTGTTTTTATTAAATCAACGTCATTTTAGTCTGTTTCAGCATAAAGAGATATAAAGAATACCTGTAACATCTTTGAGGCTGTCTGAATGAAAGAAGTTTCTAGCATAGGCTTATGTAGCTCACTTTTTCTGATTCATACATTTGAAGAAGTAGAATCTAACAGGCTTATTATTATTATTATTATTATTATTATTATTATTATTATTATTTATATTTATTTAATACCCTTCCTTTTTTCTCCACAAGGAAACTCAAAGTGGCTTAGCCAAATTAAAAGCATTTGAATATAATTTTAAACTTACACATCTATAAACATTAAAACAGAATTAAATATCAATGGTAATAAAAAAATCACAGTTAAAATCCATAAAAACCATAGCACCCCCCTGACTTGATCTTAGAAACCTTCTTTAAAAGCCTGCCTGAACAAAAAAGTTTTAGCTGGCCACCAGAAGCACTTCACAGAGAGGGCCATTCTAGCTTCCCTGAGCAGGGAGTTCTAGGGTCATTTTTTTTTCATGTCAGGAGCAACTTGAGAGATTGCAAGTCGCTTCTGGTGTGAGAGCACTGGATGCCTGCAAGGACATTGCCCAGATGATGCCTGGATGTTTTACCATCCTGTGGGAGGCTTCTTTCATGTCCCCATATGGGAAGCTGGAGCTGACAGACAGCAGCTCACCCTGCTCCCTGGATTCGAACCATCGATCTTTTGGTCAGCAGTCCTGCTGACAAAAGGATTTAACCCATTGCACCACCGGAGGCTCCTTCTGGGGTCGATGGGCGGCCACAGAGAAAACTCTCTCTCATTCCCCCCAACCAAGCTTGAGATGGAGGTGGAACTGAGAGAAGGGTCCCTCATGAAGAACTCAGGGCCTTGGCAGGTTTGTACAAGGAGATGCGGTCAGTCAAATAGCCTGGACATAAGCTGTCTTTATAGATCATAACCAGCACTTTAAATTGTACCCCAAAACAAATTGGTTCATGTTAGAAACTACTTCTCACTGTCAGAAGTGATACAGAATTCCTTTATGTTGGATGCATTAATTATCACAGTTTTTATGTTTTTTGTTCTTTATGATGTCCCATGTCAATCCTATTCAGCAGTGAACAGCATGATGTACTCTTGGGCTGTTATGAAACTAATCCAAGCACAGTTTAGCCTAGAGAAAAATACAGAATGCAACTACAGGCAACCCAAATGAGAGAAAAAAACCAAACTATATAAGCAACTATTTAGATTTGTCAGAGTATGTGTTCCGCTATGAATGGGGTATTTGCATGAATAGTTTATCTATGTGCATGCAATTCTGGCAGTGGAGGTGGCTATGGTACCAAAACAGGGAATGATTTCCTTAGGGACAACCAGCTTCTGCTGCTAATTAACACTTCCCTGCCAGCCTTGCTGATGTTAAATTGGAATGGCTCTGACCCAAGGAAATGTAAATTTGGCATCAGAAAAAGGTCTTATGATACCAGTTTGTTTCAAACATTTCCAGTCATGAAAATAGAGAGTGGTAATTGAATCAACTAAGGCCATTTTCTATTCATACATGCCTGGTAATTATATGGGGCTGATTTGTTTGTTCTCTCACTGGGACCTTTGTCAACAGCAAGCTCTGTTATCCCATCAGGGAGACACTCTTATTCTCAGCCCTACTGTGTGCTTTAAGTCAGTCTGGCACAATACCTCTATTATTATCCTCAGTATTTCTAGCACTCTTGAAATGTAAGCGAGGATAGATTTCTTATTCCCTCGAGTCCCATCCTTAAGTTCCCAACTCTGCTTCACACCAAGGATAACTAGGAAGCAGAAGGCACCAGTTAGATCTGGGGAATAGCTTCAGGGTCACATTTCTGGACTCCTGGTTCTTTCTGGGATTGCTTCATATTTGAGTGTGTTTTTCCACATTGACTGAGTAAGCAAGCAGAAAAAGCTCTCTGGCGAATGAGGGTCATTGGGTGACTCCAGGGAATTGTGCGTTGCAGGACAATCAAAATTAGAAATCTACCAAGATAACATTGGGATGGAAAGATCTAGGGGATGAGCATTTTTTGATCTAAAATGTTTTACAGGGTAAATGAATATTGGTTCCTCCACCAGTGCTCTGGAATGGAATACAGAAGCAAGAATGGCACTTACATAGAAACTCAGCCATGTCTCTGAAGTCCTCAGGTGCTGAAAAGAAAGCTGAAAGAAGTACCATTCCTATAATTGTTTAATACCTTGAACTTTCCTTGTCATCAAATAACATCAAGTAAGTACACATATATGTTCTTTGGTCATCGATAACATTGTTAGATACTATGAATCGAGCACTGTTGTTTGTTTGCTATTACTAGTCAGCTTGCCTTCCACACTTGATAGCTTTTCCTACTAATCCTGTTCCCTCATACCTCTTTGTTTCTCTCAGGTGAGTATGTACTCCCGGCATATCTTTCAGCTTGTCTTTTTTTTTTTTGTCTTTTACGTTAGCTTATTTCTTCAGATAACATTTTGATTTTATATAAAGTGAAAGCAAAGGCAGGTTCTGAGACAACCAACACTCACTAAAGGTTATTATTGCTAAAGGTTATTATTGCATTGCCATTTTCCTTCTGAAAGTCAAAAGTCAAATATTTTAGATAACCTGCCCATTCTCTAGAAATATAAGTTTCTCTAATCACTAGCCTGTTTATTATAAGATGAATAATGTCTTCACTTTCAAGGTTTTTCAACAGGAGCAGAATAAAAACAGATTTTAAAACCCAATAATTATAAATATGCAGCGGTTCTATTCAGTTTGCAGCTGCTCTCATAGGTAATGTATATTGAATGCTTGTAAGTAATTCTCTGGAAAAAACTAAATTTGCATATTGTTTCTCCTCCTTTTCCCCTTCTTTTATGGTGTCTGTTGCTTAGAGAATGCAACTTTGACAGATCAAATATTATTTTCCAGTACCATCTTTCTGGTGTACATGAAATCCCATCACCAGAACAATGCTTTCTACTTTTCCAAAAGTAGGTCATGAATTTAGTCAGCTGTAGGGAAAAAGAAAAAGAAACAAAGTTATTCTAAGTTGAGAACAAAAGATACCATCACCATACATGGATGTTTATCTGGCTTTACCATTTCTTACATCCTCTTTCTTATAATGCATTTTAATCCTGTGCCCTCTCACACTCTAGAAACTATGACATGGATATCTGAGGAGTAAGATGATTATTTATCCAGTTCTATGTTTTTTAGACTATAGGAAGAAGCAGGCATTTTTTGCAGCTAGAGGTTTTGAATACTTTTCTCATCCATTTTTTTCCTTTGGTCAAAAAGAGTTCGAGAAACAACTCTGAGAAACAAAAAGAAGTATAAATAAAATACACACATAAAATATCATAGTCTTAAGAACTCTTTATCAGGCAGGTGGAAAAAGATATAGGGGATAGGGATTTGGGAAAAACCTAGCCCAGATCATTCACAGAATTTCAGGATCTAAATTTGAATCCTTCTCCAATTCAAGCATTTCTGAGGGGTGCCAAGTAACCTCTGTTTAAAATCTCCAAGCCTGAAGGGTTTACCATCATCCAAGCAAGCCATTCCAATCTCAAACAGCTCAAAATACCATCAGGATTTTTTAAAAAGCTTTTAAATTGGATTTTCCTTTTATATAATGTGAATCCATCCTGTATTTCTGTAGCTTCAAGATGAACACTGCAGACTAGGCAAAGGGAAGATGTCCACTGAACAGAAAGGTCATACCCAGAAAATTGACCCGCTACTAATTTGAAACAATGAGTTAACACCACAATGGCAGCTGATGGAGAGGCGCCAAACTCCAAATAAGGGGGGAAAGGGAATATATTCATGGTATTCTGTGACATTTACAACTTGACTTGAGCTTATTAATAGTTTTTCTTAAAAAAAAACATAACCGTGTGTCAGCTAAATCTGATCTCTAGCTTTGCTGATATAGGGACTATCATATTGCAGTACTTTGTTCTCAGTTCCTAACTCAGACCTCTAGTGAGCAATGATAAAGCT